GGAGGAGAGCGACAATGACACTGAATTAACGCAACCACGCAGCCGAGAGCGTGTGCACAATGGAATACTCTGTGGACATGAGGACTCTGCGCTGGATCAAAAACCGGCACCAGCGCTGGAGGGACTGTTTACAAATGTGGAAGGAAGAAGCTGTTCAGATCATGAGGCATTACATAAGGTAAGCCCTAAAGCAGCATTGGGGGGGATTCTGCCTTCAATGTCACTTTAACTGCAAGGTGAAAGTCCAGTGGCTGGAGAGTAAAGCCTCTTCCGCATCACAAGTAAGAAAAAATGAAACCTAGATAATCAAATTAATAACAAAACTTAACATGGACATACACTGGTTGATTTTATAACATATTAGACACATTGTTTCCGTTTCTGTCTAAATGCATTTTCATTTCATTCTCTCACCAGCACTTTTATCATAAAAATCCATTGAAGGGGTTGCTCTTCTCCTTCGGCAATAGAGGTAGATATTCTAATTCTTGCACTGAACAGTACTGATGTGATGATACGTGAGTGCCATCCAGTGCAGTAGTACTCTGAGCCCAGGCTGGTGTTATGATGCGCCCCGTGGAGATTTATGACAGCCTGGGCTTAGAGGAAGTGGGCATAATGATGCTGGCCTCCATTTAAGCAAAGCCACTGGCAACATCTAGTGGTGGAGATGGTTTTCTGCAAGGAGCAGCTCCATACTGGAAGTGAGTATTGCTTAGTATAGTTCTGGACTTTGTATTTTAAACCTTTTTTTTAAACTGTAGTTTTATTTTAACAAATATAGATATTTAAAAGTTTCAAATATCATATATTATAAAAATACACCCTATAACCATCTTGTATGATTATATATTTAAAATTACACTTGGTAAAGCAGTATACCCAAAAAGCTGGTCCTGCTGTTACTTGTAGCTCCCCAAAAGATGCAAAACCACAAGCTTGCCATCCCTTTAGAACTAGCTTGTTTATTTTCTTGTTTTCCTGGCACAAGTGAAGCACAAATAGCTCCCTATGAAGTTCTGTGCGTGCTATCCAGCTTAGTGAAGGTGAGATAAAGATCATTTGCATGTAACCCTGACAGGATAATTGGGCTGCTCTACAACACTACATCTATTCCCAGCAAAATGGAATTTTAAAATGTTTGTGAAGCGCCAGATCAGCGGATTTCTTTACTTCTCTCTCTTTATCCTTTTTTCCCCCCTAACCTTCAGCTTGTAATAGAATAAAAGTGTTTGCTTGACTGATTTCATAAGCCAAGGTGAATGGCTCTAAGGAAAAAAGGTTACAGCGTCTGTGACTGAAGATTATTTTGTCAAATTAATGTTATTGTACCACTGCCGTCTCTCGCTTTTACCATTTAGTGCAGTTTTAGGTCACCCTCTGTCTTAGTTACTGTGAACCTGAAAATTATGTTTTACAGGGAACATGGTGATAAGTGATTTGCACTCTTGTCTCGAAATTCGATTGTCAGGCTCAAATCCCACCTGGAACCCTACTTATTTGAAATGTCATTGGTTAGTTATTCAGCTTCTATCAAATTGTTCCTAGCATGTGTGTGTATAGCTATGGTAGGAACATTAGACTGCAGGGTTATCTTGGAACAGGAATACATATGAATGTCTATGTATGATAATGCAAAATAAGCACAAAATTAACGAGCAAATTATGTATAACTGAAATAAAATAAAATAAAAATGGAAATGCATTTTATTGATCTGTTTTGTTTGTCAATTTTAATAGCTTTTAAAGCCTATCCCTGGATGCAGAAACCCCTCCCCTTGCAGTGGGACTATCCCTACATTGCAAGGGTTAACCCCTCACATTTGTCTAGGGGAATTCTTTAAAGCAGTTTTACCTACCCAATTACTGCTCCCCCAGAAGTCGGAGCTCACTTCTTTTCCCTCCACTCCGGATGCATACTCACGTCTATGGAACAACTATGGGCCCCACATTAGATATGATGGCATCAGTAGGCTTCCAACCACCGAAACAGAAGGGGAAAGAGGCCAGTCTTAAAGGCAGCAGGATGAGATCTTCGGTGGATAGTGTTTTTATAGAAGTGGGGTATTTTAGTATATGTGTGAACACCGTGTCCCTGTGGGATGACAAGGTCCATATACTCCCAGCGTTTTGTAATTTTGTACTAATAACATATTTTGATCATTTATACTAAGTTTTGAGAGTTTTAAGTCAGTGGTTGTCTATTTAATAGTGGTTTCTAATTGGGTTGGTTGACTTCTCATCTCTCCTGAAGGATAAGCACCTATGCAGGCAGGAGGAAGTGTCAATGGTCTACAAGTGTGCATGTACACCACTGAGAACTGTGAGCCTTTCATACAAGACTTGTATTCTCTCCATTCCCAGATCTATCAAAAGATGTCTCGATGCTGTGGGGAGAAGAATCCCATTGTTCATTTAAGAGGGGGGGCTGTTTGAGGGAAGGGTTGGCTGTGGATTCAACCATGTTTCATGATACACCTTGAATATGGGTGTAACATGAAACAAGGTCAGAAAGATGGAGATACTCTTTAAGCAAGTAGGCAAAGTTGCATATGGCTTATCCCTAAAGGGGTTGTGAAACCTTGCATACTGTGTGCAAATATGGACAACTTTTGCTGACAATCTTCCAAATGCCAGAGGTGGGAAGTGAGGCTTAAATTATTCAGCTTCACTGTAGTATGATCAGCCTAAGCAACATGTATTTAACTTTCACTCATGCCTCCCTTCAAAGCACCAATGGTTTCAAATTCATTCCCAATCAGAGTTGGCATCAAAGCTTTGGTGTGCATTTTAAATACATAACACACTGAGTATTAGGCTTTTTAGAAAAAACAGTAGGTCCTCTTTAAAACAACAGTCTGAGGCTTTCAGAAATACTGTGCATTTATTGTTCACCTTAACACTTTGAATCACACCTATTGGCAAGAAGGACATATGTAGGAGCCAAAAGATCAGTTTGTTCGAACAGATCTGTGCATTGTACTGGTCAAACGTACAGTTTGTGAGGAACAAAGAACAAAGGGATCGACTTCTTAAGTGGATAACTGCTTTTGCATACATAAGACTTATTAACTTTTGCAAAGCCACTAATTCTCGGGAAGTATGCTTCTGGACTCTCGCAGGGGTGTTTCATGGCCAGACACAATTAACTAAATAGAAAGTTTTACAATGTCACATCCTTACCATTATAATTATTTATTATATTAGATGAATTATTATCACAGCACATTCAGTCCTGTCCACTTTAGCAATTATGCCAATAGAATTAAAAAAGGTCCTCACATACAAAGGGAAAATGTTTTGCTGGGAACCGGGGGTTACACACATTCTCTTTTTCTGTACTGTACACAGCAGTACAGCTGGCTTATTCCACAGCATGTGCCCAAGGCTTTTAAACAAGAGTCTAGGCTAAAAAAAAAATAAGGATAAGGCTTTAAAGCTGAACTCCAGACTCCTTTCTCCAAGCTGAAATGGGGTACAGAGGTAGGGTAAAAAAAACTATTTGCAAATAATAAACAACTAATTTGTTATGTCAATCTTCCTGCACATAAATAGTAACCGCAAAAAAGAAGTAATAATAATGAGAAAGAAAATTTTCCCCTTTTGTCTAAAAAGTAAGGACGTTGCAAGCTACAATGGTTGTATAGCAAATAATACTCCACATTTCTCATAGTAATCACACCTGTAGGCAGGGTTAACGATACAAAATATCATCGCCCTGATAAAATTTTGATGTATTTAGGTAAATTATTGCGCCTTTTATTTTCACATGTACAGGTAATCACAAAACTGAATTATAATTTAAACACCAACAGGCAGGGCCAATACAAAGCAGAACAGCAACCATTAAAAACCAGGGGCTGATGCAATAAAAGTACACTAAAGGAAACATTTCTTGTCGCTTATAACAACCAATTCACCTGCTAATTTTATTTTAAGCCTAGTCTGTAAAAGTTACAGTTGATTGGATGCAACATGAAAGAAGAAAATTCTTCCCTTGCATGGTTTTCATAAATCAAGCACATAGACACATGTGCTTGATTTATGAAAACCATGCAGGTCCAGAGCTGGCTCCTCTTGGAACCAGAGAAGACAAACCTGGTGAAAGAGGGTGGACCGTTCATATTATCACTAATTTGCTCTGGCAGTTGTTCCTTGCTACAGTGTGAGCATCAGAACATAAACAGTTCTGAAGAAACAAGCAGAAATATACACAAAATGCTTGATTTGTATGGACAAGACCTTACTATGATAACCTCTTAAGACCTTACTACATACTTCAGAGCTTCCATGTCAGCTACTATCTAATGGATTCTCTATAGACGTATATGAAGATATCAGTTCTGCACGCTAGAGCCTGGCACAGCTGAGGAAGAGCTGAGACAGGGGAGAAGCTGGAGTTTCTGAAAGCCATAAAGGCCTAGCGAGGAATGAAAATCTTGTTTTGAGCATCCAGGGTTAAAGCCCAGGTCAAACCAAATTTTTTTTTCCCCCTTTACTTTCTGTCTGTGACAAGTGATGGGTCTCGGGCACTATAGAAAGTGGCGGGTGGCAGTATAGAAATTGAGAGAAAAGCTCAATAAATGGGACATAAACAGGGGTGGACAAATAGATATGAAAACCCGTAGCCAGTTTGTTGCCCAATCCAGGAGCCAGCATGATTTTTTTAGGAGCCATTTTCATTGACATCGACTAGAGAAAACCTCAAAAGTTGGGTGCCAGCTGTAATTTTTATGGAGCATTGGCTACCTGCCTCCTGGAATTTGCCCTGACTTAAACAGAAAGAAAACACAAATTCCAATACTTTTGCTATATAAAAAACTAAAAGATAAAAAAATATCTGGAGTTAGGCTGTAATAAAGTTTTGGGTAGACATCAGCTTATTTTTTTTTTCATCCAATAAGAATCAATAAGTCAATAAGACTGGTGTCAAGCTCAGGTTAAATTACACTCTAGGCAACTGAGGATTCATCTAATGTGCCTTATATTCCTGTCCATACCTGCAGAATAAGGTTCCTGCTTCTCGATGTAGATGAACTCTTTTCTCTCGTACTTGGCCCGGATCCACTGCTCCCGGAGCACTCTGCAATTGAGCACAGAGGACACATAATTCAGCGTGCAGGTTCGTGCGTTAGACACATCATCGATGCTGTTCTATCTACACACAAGCTTTTCCACAACAGCTATGGATCATTGAGTTTGTGAAAATACAATAAGATGCTGTAATGCACCACTCCATCTATGAACATTATATCTCTGCTACATGGGAAAGGTTGTTAAGGGTCATGCTGTGAAGAAAATCTGGCTCACTCCTGGGGATTTTAAAAGGCAGATCTATCACAATCACACGACATCAAACAGCATTTTGAACGTTATTTAATTATTTATTACATTCGTTATTTATTATCTATTACAATAGGTATTTATTTACTCAGAACTAACCAACACATACACACAGCTCTTTTTAACAGATCCTGCTCCAGCCTTTTGTTCCAAACATAGTTGTACAAACAAACACATTCTGGGCCAATTTTGGGTGGCTAATTACATGTCATTAGGTGTTTGGATTCAGGTAGGATGCCGTAGCACCTGGGGCAGGGGTCGTACTATAAGTGGGTTTGGTATAAAGTGTGCTTCCATGCACCCCCCCCCCCAAAATATTTGGGGGGGTATTTCTCATTTCTGTCCCACCGCAAAGCAATGCTAAACACAAGATGTCATGAGATGGATTAAAGTCTTGAGTCACAAAAAAAAAAAGATTGAGTCACAAATTCCTCCTCTGGCTACTGTAAAGTTGCACTTCGACTGACTGAAACCTGGGCCTGACCACTTCTTAACTATGTGTCTGTTTAGAGTGAAAATCCATCTCATCTTCAGTAAGCAATCTGTGGCAGATCTTACAAATCTGCTGCAGTTGGCTGCCCCGGAATTCCGACACACAAGTCGCAAATACACTGAAAACTTGTTGCAGAGACCTTGCTAAGTGAGAGCGAATCTCTTTTGTGTCTAACTGTGTAGCTATTTTGCTTGATAAATGTCCCCCATATATTCTCCCTCATGACCTCTGGGACTGAGGTGGATAGACTGCAAATAAACCTATGTTCTGCAAAGATCATAGAAGCACCACCTTCACAATTGCTTTTACAATACATCAAAGAGTGCCAATGAGGCATACTGCATGTATAATGATGGAGGGGAGACCACTCAACCTGCAATAATATTGGAACGTACTTGCAGGTCACTGTTACTATAAACTGACACCTTTATCCACATCCTTGGTAGCTTCAACTGAGAGCACAAATATTCTAACCCCTTTACTAAGTACAACCCCAATTCCCAAAAAGTTGGGACGCTATGTACAATCTACATAAAAACAGAATGCAATGATTTGCAAATCTCATAAACCCATATTTTATTCACAATAGAAAATAGAAAACATTATAAAAGGTTTAAACTGTATCATTTTAAGAAAAAAATAAGGTCATTTTGAAATTGATGGCAGCAACACGTCTCAAAAAAGTTGGAACAAGGCAACAAAAAGCTGGCAACTTAAGTGCTTGGGGTGGCTGGAAGAACATTTTGCAACTAATTAGTTTAATTAGCAACAAGTCAGTAATATGATTGGGTATAAAAAGAGCATCTTAGTAAGTCAGAGTGTCTCAGAAGTAAAGATGGGCCGAGGTTCACTAATCTATGAAAAGCTGCATCTAAAAATTGTCCAACAATTTCAGAATAATATTCCTCAACTTAAAATTGCAAAGACTTTAAATATATCATCATCTACAGTACATAATATCATCAAAAGATTCATAGAATCTGGAGAAATCTCTGTGCACAAGGGACAAGGCCGAAACACAATATTGGATGCCCGTGATCTTTACCGGACCTCAGACAGCACTGCATTAAAAACAGGCATGATTCTGTGATTGACATCCCTGCATGGGCTCAGGAATACTTCCAGAAATCATTGCCTATGAACACAGTTTGCCGTACTATCCAAAAATGCAAGTTAAAGCTCTGTCATGCAAAGAAGAAGCCATAAATGATCCAGAAACACAGCCATCTTCTCTGGGCCAAAGCTCATTTAAAATGGTCTGTGGAAAAGTGGAAAACGGTTCTGTGGTCAGACAAATCGAAATGTAACATTCTTTTTGGCAACCATGGGCGCCGAATCCTCTGGACTAAAGAGGAGAAAGACCTTCCGGTTTGTAATTAGTGCTCAGTTCAAAAGCCTGCATCTCTGACAGTATGGAGGTGCATTAGTGTGTATGGAATAGCTTGCAGATCTGGAAAGGCACCATCAATGCTGAAAGACATATCCAGGTTTTAGAGCAGCATAGGCTCCCATCCAGACAACATATTTTTCAGGGAAGATTTAAGATTTGCAAATCATTGCATTCTGTTTTTATGAAAATTGTACACAGTGTCCCAACTATTTTGGAATTGGGATTGTACAAATACATGTATGCACTCTTTACAGAGTGGAAACGAAAAGGACTTAGTGTTACTTACTGGCAGTCAGAAGCAGCTGGCTTGTAGTAAAATGCTGGCACTTTTGACTCAAATTTTGCTTGTGCTACTTTATTTCCCAGGCATGACATGTACTGAAAGAGAAGAAACATACATGGTTTAGCTCAAGTCAGACATCTCTATTTTATTTTACAGCATTGATCTCCAATCTGCATTGGAAAAATCACAAAACTCTAAGCTACCTTACATGTTGCTTGCACAAGGAGAATCACCTAACTCCAAGTTACCTTACATGCCGTTTGCACAAGGAGAATTGCGTAACTCCAAGCTACCTTACATGTTGCTTACACAAGGACTCTTGATAGGTTTTAGCACATGAGAGTGCTTATGTTGGTAAACTTAAGACTGAAGCAAGAGATCTTATCAGTTAGGCCTTGTCCATGCGGCAGTGAGGGGGCAGTAAAACTGTGGGGTTGGTATGCGGGTTTTTTTGTGCAGCCGCAGTGCTGCAATGTCAGTGCTGTAGACGTTGCTGCTGGTGTAATGCTTTGCGGCAAAAAAATATACAGCATGTCACGTTTGAAAGTAGTGCTACTTGAAATGAATGGGACTGCGCCGCAACCATGTGGGTACGTGGTTGCTGTGCATACTTCCATAGACAATCCCATTGGAATTAAATAAAAACTCCTAAACTGAATTCAGGAGGTGGAAGTATTGCCTCCTAAACAGTGGGCAGCCGCTCCTTCACTGCCCTTTGAAAAGCAATCCACTGCAGACTGCTTTTTAGAGGGCGGTGGAGACTGTAGCCCATCTGAACGAAGCCTTAAACCTAGTTCACATATGTGGTAAAATCAGGCAGTAGAGAAGCCTTTTTAAAGCTTCCCTACTGCCTAATAATGATGCACATGTGGAATGCCATATGGCAACCACTTCCATTCATGTTGTTTAAAAAAGTGGGAGGAAAAAAACAACTCCAGCTCCCACTTCTTGTATGGCACACTGCCAGCTTTGCCAGCCAGAGTGTGCCAGTACCAGACACATATGCCATCCTGTACCAGTGCTAGCCAGTACTTGTGACAGCATTTACCAGTGCCAATCATTACCAGTGCCAACCAGGACCTCTGCCAGTGTTTAAAAATAACAAGAAACCAATACTTGAAACGGCATTGGGCAGGCTTTTTTTTATGCTGCTTTAAATGGGTAACGGGAGGACGCTAGTTTGTGTCCTCCCGTTACCCTAAGGAGAACTATGGGGAAAAACACTGACCCCATAGTCTCCTTTAAAAATGTCTTGAACCCCTGCCAATCATGGGTTAATGCCATAGGGGCATTAATCAATATTCATTCTTTATAAATTCTTAATGCACATGTGAATGAGGCCTTACTGATGATGGGAGGATTTTAAAGAGTTTAAAATGCAGACCTTCTGAAGTGGCTACATGTAACCAATCAACACATGCCAATTGATTAAAGGATAACTAAACCCAAGAACAAAAATTAAATATTGCAGCTCAAGAGTGCTTAGATGTGGTGGCTGCATTACTTTTTCAGGCTAAAACATTTTCTGAAAGTAAAACAATACATGTAGATCTTGCCAGAAATACAGTGCCCTTGTCACTTTATGTGAGCTGGCCTAAAAGCATTAAAACACAATGTCTTTTTTGTATAAATTACTAATGCCATCATCCCACATTGAAAAGAGATAATCAAAGGCAGCCATGTTTGAAGTCCAGCCTGTGTGGCAGTCATGGCTCCTTCCACAGATACAGTGGAGGAGTGAACAGGAAGTGTGTTATTCACAGGACCACCTGGAGAAAATAAAGGAAAAACAAAAGAAAACGAAAACTAATGCAGCCACCACATCTAAGGACTTATACATTGCCAGACATTACATTTTGATTTTTGGGCTAAGATACACTTTTAAAACAGCAAATTACTGAATGCATCATGGAACCTCAGTTTAAACCAGTTTAGCTGCACTTAGCAGTGGAGGAGCTGCCTTGTTCAAGAGGAAACTTCCCAAATATTCTTTACTGCTACCCAAAAAAAAATTAAACAGGTCTGGAAAATATTCCTAAAATCCAGGAGGCGGCACTAAAAGTGTTATGAGCCAGCAGTAATGCAAATTTAATCTAGCAATAATATTGCAGATTATACATTTACAATTCAATTTTAATTGATAACAATTTAAAAAAAAAGGAAACTGTTTTACAGACTAGACATGCCGTAGTAAAAACTTATAACACCTGAACTGGAAGGGCTGATAACACTGCTTGCGAAAACACTGCAGAATGCCCAGAAAGCAGAATCAAAAGGTATCTCTGACACTCATTGAACAGATTTAACAAAATGTTTTCACTGGTATTTTTAACAGACCAAAAGGGTGCCAATAAAAGTTCACCATTATTGTTTACATACATTTTAAACATATATGACTACAAAGTAATATATATATACCCAGTGGCATATCCAGGGTATGGCACATATGGCACATGCCCTGAGCGCCACTTGAAGGGGAGCGCCACTCTGTGGGTCAGCAAAAGTTCGCTAACCCATGGAGACATATTACTTTTTGTCACTCCCCGCTCGGGTCTCTTAACAACCAGGGATGCTCTGGCCGGTGTCCCTCCAAGCTACTGGCAACCAGTGACGTCACTGGGCAGGACACTGGCCAGAGCCTCTCAGGTTGCTAAGAGCTGGGTGGGGAGATGTGTAAGGGCCATACACATCTTCCCACCCAGCTCTTAGCAACTAGAGGGGGAGGGGAGATGTTTATGAGGGTGGGACGCTGGCCAGATTGTCCCAGGTTGCAAAAAGCTGGGCGGGGAGATGTGTATGGCCCTTACACACCTCCCTGTCGAGCTCTTAGTAACCTGGTATGCTCTGGCCAGTGACGTTACTGGTTGCCAGGAGCTGGGTGGGATGCCAGGGGCGCAATTTGTTGTAGATATGCCTCTGTATTTACCCCTAGACACTGCCACCTCATCATACTGTATGTATATCCCCAAATAATGTGCCCCCATACACCGATGCCTAGTATGAACAAAGTCATGTAGTTTATTGAGATATACAGTATGTTGAGAAGAGAAGGAAATGATCTGTTAGAGGTGGTGATAAAATAATACTTTCTGACCTAAATGAATTAAAGGAGAACTATGAGATGAGTGATTTCCACTCACCTCATAGTTCTAGCCGACCTGTGACAATGAGACTGTTACAGGTCGGCTCAGTAGATCGGGAGGTGAGCGAACACATACCAGGTTCGCTCACCTCTCGATCTTGTCACGGCTCTCTGCCGTGACAGGGGGAGGGGCTGGATTCCCCTTTCCCCGCTCCGATCTGCCAGCGCTGACTGGCGGAATGGACGGGGGAGGGGGCGGGTACAGCTGGCTCTGCCTCTAGATAGGCAGAGCCAGCTGTCACTCACGCAGCTGGGTGGATCTCTACGTTGATGTCGGGATCCGCTCCGGCTGCGCCGTCTCAGTATATAGGGAGCTGTAGCTCGCGGTATACTGAGCTTAGGGTAACGGGAGGATGCTAGTTTGTGTCCTCCCGTTACCCTAAGGAGAACTATGGGGAAAAACACTGACCCCATAGTTCTCCTTTAAGAGATAAATGGAGACATCCATTCCAGTGACAGCTGTCTAAAAGGGCATTCATACTTCCTGTTCTGCCTCTGGAACAGGAAATACATAAAAATCTCCCCAACTGGATCTACACAGCAAATACATAAATAAATAAAACCTGACAGGGGTCTTAACTGTTCCCAATTTTACCAAAATGTTTTAGCTTGACACATTCTTTAAAAAAGCTAATCGACTGTAGTGAAATGAGCCTGTTGAATGTTAAATTAAACATGTGATGGCGTTACCATAAATCAGGGGTAATCAAACTTTGACCCCCAGCCCTAGTGAAACTACAAATCTTTACATGCATCTAGAAGTCATGCCTCTTGCTGTTAGAGTTTTGCAATACCTTATGGGATTTGTAGTCTCACCACAGCCCGATGGCCGAAGTTTGGATACCCCTGCCATAAATGGACAGTGAACGGTTAATTGCCACCAGACACATATCCTTGAAAGTGGTGTGCAAGAATATCTATTTTCCTAGTAAGATACTCATTTTACCTGTTGTGATTATCTAGGTTTGCTGTTTTCTCTATCAATTTTGATCCCAATTGCTTTACTTTTCAATCTGACTCTGAGTTTTGTTGCCTCCAGCACTGCTGCTCCAATATATTACCTTCACCTGTCCTGTAGACTTTCTGCTTTCAGCTATTGGGAAGAAGAGAACAATGACAGCTAAAATATATCACCTATAATTTACTCAGGAAGCACATTAAAATGCTCTGTGGCAGCTCCGTGTCTTTCATATTAATAGCCTATTTTATTACATTATGTAAATCCTGACCATAAACTATCTTCATAGTGTATTCTCTTCTATAATCATCTGCAACTTCTGTAACATTCCCCATCACCCTACCAAGAAATATTTCCTGTTTCCTCTTTTCCATGTTATAATAGGGAACTTGTTAGAAAGAACACATTTTTTATTTTATACATTATCCTAGAAGTATTGTTTCCTTGTGAAGCTTCTTTTTCATACCTTTCATTTATTTAAAGTGACACTAAGCTCAGGAGTTAAATCCTAAAAATGCATTCAAGTCCAATAAATATTATAAAAAATTTATCTTATTTGTGTATTACCCAGCTGTAGATCCTCAAATCATCTCTGAATTGGTGCTGACACGGTCCTTCCTTCTGGAGGGGGGCTACTTTTGTTCCCAATGTTCCCTGTGTGTATTGTAAAGTAGCCACCGCTCCAAGCTCACTCCTGTGTGGACTACAATCTCATTAGCACCAATTCAGAGATGATTTGAGGATCTACAGATGAGTGATACACACATAAAATACATTTTTGTTAATAGTTAAGGTACTTGAATGCATTTTTAAGGTTTAATTCGTGAGTTTAGTTTCACTTTAATAATTTTATCATCATCACTTCGTCGGAATAGGAAGTCTCCTTTGTTCTCTCAAACCTGCACTTAAAGGCCTCATTCACACACAACGCAAGCAAAATTGTATATTGCGTATATATACGCGTCTATGCGCGTATAGATGAGCGTCTATGCGCG